TGCTGGGCCAAGTACAACTGGCACATCCTGCTGCTCTTCAGCGAGCTCCTCAAGAGCGTGGGCTGCGCCCGCTGCAAGCACGTCCACACCACCATCCGCTTCCAGGGCGCCCTGCGCAGGAACCGATGCACCATCATGTGAGCCCCCCGTGCCCCGATGGACCCCTCTGGCCGTGCCATCGTGGCCACCCATCCTTAGGGACCGCGGCTCCCTGGTGTCACCACTCAATGGGGGTGATGCTGTGGTGGAAGCGGTGCTGGAGGCACCTCGGGGTTTGCTTCCCCGCCGGCACTGGCACCCTGCGGTGACCTACGGGGACAGTGCACCTTGGACAGGGTGATGCTTGGCCATGGGCAGGAGGGTGGCCGGGATGCCTGGAGGCAGCGAGGGGTGAGGGAGGACCGTGGTTAAATTGAGCCCTCTCCAAGCCTCCAGCACTCGGGGTCAAAGCTGTTCCGGGGGGGGGGTTTGTGTCTCTGCTGTGCCTGAAATGCTGCGTGGCTCCGGGAGGGGTGGAGGAGAGGCCACAAGTGGTACCCAGAGGTTGGGTGTTGGGTCCATCCTTCCCTGGCATCTGCTGCTTACTGTCACCTGCCTCCTGGAAGGGAATTGCCCAGTGCCGGTGTCCCTGGGTGGCTCCATCCCCTGGGCATCCCTGGAGCTGGGGGTCCCCCTTACAGAACTGGGGTTTGTCTCCTCAGGGCAGAGCAGCCTCCAGCAAGAGGCCGGGTTACACGGGCTCTCATGGGTCAGACTTCCAGGTGGAATTTCTGGATGAAAGCAAGAAAGGAGGGAGGAAAACACTAAAAAGAGACCCCATCCTGCCCCTTACATCCCCTGGGTGCTGCTTCCCCAGGGCCTTGAGCCCGACTTCTGCCCTGGTTCAGCCAAGGAAGGCTCCTCCTCCCCACAGCCTGTGGAACACCAAATAACCCCGGAACGCTGCTTGCCGGGCAGGTCACCCCTCCGCTACCTCGTGTCCCGGGCTCAGCGGGCTTCAACCAACCCCCGGTGTCCCCAGGGCAGCCCCTCACACCATCATCCCGTTCTGCGCCGGCTTTCCCATTGGGATGCTCGCCTCCATCCACCTGAGATGGCAGCGGTGCAAAGGCATCCTCCAAAGCAATAGGGACCTGGAGTTTGATTTCCAGTTGCATTCCTTTTTTTTTTTTTCTCCCCTCTGTCTATCCCTAATAGGAAATTGAGGCCTCATCATTAGTTTTTAATCTTCCAGCTTGTTTTTACACCAGACTGAAGCTCATCCGCGTCTTGCCCTGCAGGGTGAGTGCCAAGTGCAGCCCCTGGTAGGAAATAGTGCTGGGGCGATGTGCTGGTGAAGGGTTGTGGTTCCTCCTTCTCAGCTGCTGCCTGTGAGACATGGAGGAGCGGGATGTGAGGCTGGTGCATCCTCCAGCAGAACCATGTCAGTGATTTCTGGTGTAACGAGGCGATGCAGGTAGTCAGCAGTGCCCTGGCAAGGGACACCAGCTCCATCTCTTCCCCTGCTCCAGGTTTCCACCTCACAGCAGCACCGCTGTGCTCTGGGTCACTCTTCCTACTCGGCAGGTCCAGCTGAGCTCTGGCGCGGTGTGTTTCATACCCCATCCCCGCTGTGGGGCCATGCGCTGCCCTTCAGCCCCGATGCTGTGGGGTTTGGGCTCACCCTGCTCCTCTTTCCCACCCCCGGCACCCAAACCCCATTCCCCTTGCTCCAAAATAGTAAAATAAGGGAAAATAAAAAGGTGGTGGAGGAACACAGCGGCTGCAAGAGCCCCGGCCGGAGACAGGCAGTGGCACTCATCCCCATCCCTTGCCTTCATGGCAAACTGACTAGGCTTCCTCATGGCCCTCGACCTCATCCCATCAGGATTTATGGACACGTGTAAGTCCACGTTATCGGTCTCTGGCTGGCTTTACCCCTCCAAATTGTTTGAGAAGGAAACTCCTTGGTAAATGCTAATAATAAAGCATTTCTAAAGTGCTCCGATGTATACATATCAACGACTAAACCAATACATTGTTTGTTATAACCCTGTAGCCTGCAGTTTATAGCACAATTAGTTACAGGTTTTTATAGCATCTATTTAGTATTTTGGAGAAAAAAGAAAAAGTTATAAATATAATTGTTATATTCTATTGTACTTTATAGACAAAGTTATATTAGTAACAATAACTCACTGCTTCGACAGCATTTCCCAGCTCCTGACAAAACGAGGGCTACAAAGAGCTACTTTCCCAGGAGGAGGGGGTATGTGGGGGCACCCACAGGGCAACCAGGGCCGGGAGGTCTGGAGCATCCCAGGCTCGCAGGGATCAGAGCAGCAGCTACAAGAACCCTGCTCCTTGCTCTACTCACACCCTTTAATACAAAGTGCTACTGCTCGCCCAGCGCCACCCTGGTCCTGCTCAAACTAACGTGCTCCTGAGCCTTGGAGAGGCTGAGGATGTCCCCACCACCATCCTCAAGGTGGTGATGGGTTTCTGCCCCTGTGTGCGTGGTGCCTGGGTACGGTCCAGCCCAGCAAGGATGCTTCTCTCTGCTCCTCCTCCTGCCCTGGTGAGTGTCCCGGTTGCCTGGACTTGGCTTTCCTTTTCCCCCTGGTCTTCTTGTTGGAGATTCCCGAGGTGTCTGCACCGCCTGTAATGCCCTGCACTCCCTTATTTGAAATGGAATTAAAAATCAGGTCTGTCCCCCTTGTTCCGTACCTGCCTCGCTGCTCTTTGCCCGTGCCACCAGATTCTGCTGTTGCAGCTCTTGTACGAGCGGCAATGGGCCGGGGTGGGGGAATGTGGCTCTCCCCTGCACAAGGAGCAGTTTTGCCAGCAGGTTTGGCATCCCCAGCGCTCTCCTTTGCTGCTCCTCTGCAGGGGGGTGGGTCTGGCTTGTTCCTCTCTTGGAAGATGGGGCTCTTCTGGCCCCCATGGGGCTCTCAGAGGGATGTTCGCTGTGCATGCACAGACCAGCAGCATGAATTCCCTTCACCAGCCGTGACCCCCCCATCAGGATCATCCTCTGTCCCTCCCCATCCATATAGAAAAGATGCTGGAACAGAAGAGCTTTGGTATGTCTCTATTGCACAAACATTGCTGGGTCCACAGCTGCAGGCTCGGGAGTGAAGCTGTGCCTGCAATGACCCCTGGTGACAGCCACCATGCTGACCACCACCAGTGAAGTGACCACTGCTCCCCGGGGTCTCCCACCATAAAGAAGCTCATGGGGCTCAGCAAGGGTCACTCCTGTGCCCCCCCTCAGTCTGAGCGACTCAGTCTTTAAGGCTTTTGGTGCTGTAAGAGATTTGTTAGTCCTGTTGTACAGAGGGGGAAGACTGAGGTAGGAGGTGGTCTGTATGCCTGGATGCTGGGTGCAAGGTGTCCCCACTTTGCGGGGACACTCTAAGTGCCAGCTACATCCTTTTTCCCTGCAGATAATGCCCCAATTCTTTCAATCTGGGGCTGGATTTTTCCACCCAAACCAGTACAAGAGCACCTGCTTAGGAGAATTACCAGTCCAAACCCAACCCTATGGGTAAGGAGAGGGTGCAGCTCCAGAAAGCAATGGGGGGGACCCCCTGGGTGTCCTGGGAGCAAATCCATCCTTCCCACACCAACCTTGGGTACCACAGCTCCGGCTCCAGCATCACTCCCACCTTAGGACAAGCGCGGG